TCAAAGCAGGCTCTCTTCTTCAATTCCTTCTGCATCAGCATATCGGATGCTCTTCCCTGGATATCAGGGTAAATGAGGGGCTTTTTCAAAGGTGAGAAAATATAATTTTGAGTGATATACAAGAATCAACTGATTTGCAGCCAGTCATGGAGGTGTTATTTCCTTCATTACACTGATGTGGAAGGACTTGCCCAAAGCCCAACTTGGGCCTGGGGGAGTGCTAATTCTGCACCTTGCTTGATGTGTGCTCACTTTAGCATCGCAGGAAGGATGTAACTGAATGAAATACTGCTTGCTGTAATTACAGCTGGTTCATACACAGAGTGACTTTGTCCGTTGTTGAGTCAAATTGTTTCATTTTAAATTATTTTTAAAGGCTAAAATGAGCAAAGACAATCTGTGACTACTGCAGCAGAGGCAAGGCCTCTTAATAAGGCAGAGATCTGTGCTCAGTGAGTGGGCACTGGCATGGGGCTGTCAGGGAGGCTGGCCCTCCCTTGGTGCAAGTAGCAGCCCTTGCTGCTGTAATTGCACCTTTACCTCGCAAGCCCTTGTGGAAAATAATTAATTTTCATAGAAGCCTGTCTCATTTTAGGCCCCTGAGGGTATCAATTAAATGCAATAATGGTAACTGCAGCTTTTAAGCAAATATGTAGGTTTTTTTAAAAAATGAGGTGAAATCTTTACACAGCATGGAGCTGAAGACTTTGTTTCACTGTAAGCACCGCTGCTGAAAAGTCACAGAAGCAGCCATTTACACCCAAGAAACAGAGGCAGGAAGGTGTTCCTTTTGCACTGTTTAGCTGGGATATTAACATTAAGGTCTCTGAGCCAGCTATTGGAATTCCCCATCTAACGTTTTAGGAGGAAGTCACCGTAGATTTTTCCAGTGTCTTGCCACAAAGCAGTGCATCCTTCCACATCAAATACCATGCAAGGATTTCTATACCTGCTTAAAAAATGAATTAGTGTGGACTACGCACTTAATCTGGAGTTTGGTCCCTTTGGAGAAGGGGACGCTTGTCACTGCAGTGCTTTATAGGAGCATTTGAAAAGCAGCATACACCTTCTGCAAGGTTTCATCAGGGGGAAATAAACCACCAAAATTATCCTAATAAATTATAGTAATTGTGCCTGGCAGCTTGTGGTAATTTAAAATAGATTAATCTAACAAGCCTTAAATATGAATAAATAATAAACATCTTCATGCATTGGGAATCTGACTTTGCTTAATTCTGAATGAATATTAATTACTCCTCATAAACTCAATGCAAAAATCAATCCATGTGGAGAAGGTACAAGGTATTAAGTATACCAAATTGGGCAGAGCCCAGATGAATATTCTCATCATCAATAAAGTTGGATTACACTGCTGCTCAACTCTGTCTGGTGATGGGAAGCAGGCTCTAAAATGGGGTCGGTGCTGTTGTGGTTTAGATTTGATTTTGTATCCCTTATTTCCCGGCAGGGTTGGATGGCTAGCTTACTGCTGGGTGGTTCAGGAATTATCTGTTGTCCCTGTGAGGAAGAAGGAAACCACAGGTGATGCTTGGCCATCAGAGCGGTGGCTGATGCTGGCAGCCAGTATACCTCCATGCCACAGCACATCCTCCATCCTGCCTGCAGGCAAATCTGTGGAGCTGAGAACTGGGAGTCTCGCCTCCCAACTTCCAAAGGGATAAATACTGGAGAAAAACTTTCTCTCCTGGCAAAATGACCCCTTGGGCCATGGTGACATATTGGGTAGGGCAAGACACCATACTAGGAGGCAGTGCGATGCTCTGGTGCCTTTTGCGCTGTGCCTTATGTTTGCAGGGAGTGGGGATTTCAACCAAAGCAAAACTGAAGACCTGCTTGCTTTTGAGTGGGAGCGTACGGAAGATGGATGAGAGGGAACATCTGCACCATCTGCTGTAGGGGAGCTCTATCCTTCATCTTCTCACCTCTCCACATTGTTGTGTTTGGATGATATCCTTCATTCCCTCCCATTGCCATTCTCCTAAGGCCAAGTCTTTCCTCAGCAGAATGCTTTGCTTAGCAGCAGACTGTTCTGGGAGCTATTAAATGGAAATATCCTTTGCTGCCTTTTTCTGTGGATGGCTTGGGGAAATACATGTTGCCCGTACGCACTGCCTGTGCAAGTGGGCACGGGGATCTTGTTTTCCATGAACATAGGCTGTGTGACAGAATGTGAAATGAGCTGGGAAGGGTAATTGGGGTGTTTGGAGTTGCACTGTCACACTGGGGCCAAGGCAGGGAGCTAGGGGGGATGCTGGCTGTGTCATGGGTCTTGGTATGGCAGACGTAATGCTTCTGCAGGAAGTTGCTGGGAGAAAATAGGTTTGCATATCAGCTTGCTCCCAGGGTTGCAGGGATGGTGTTTTGCATTTTGGTTTAAATCGTAAAACCTGGCAGAAGTAAATGAAGGTCACCAGCTGTAAAACATGACAGGGACATTGTAAGACATATCATAAATAAACTGTAGCCTAGAAAAAGCTTACGATGGTATCTACTGCAGGCTTTGGCCTCCGTTTTAAAGCTGCCTTGATCTTTTAACATGGAAGAGATATGTGAGATCTGCAGATACTGTGCTTTAAAGTGTTTGGAGGCTGCTGGTATCCTTGGGTTTTAAAGATAAGGGGGAAGGCAAGGAGGAAAGGAGAAATGCATCCTTGTGTCTTCCTGAGCTGGCCCCAGGGGCTTGTTTCAGGTGTATATTGAGCAGCTGCCCACAGACTTAAGTGTGTAAGTAAAGGGCAACCAGGAGGGTGTGTGGGAAGGGAATGAAAGAAGAGCACCAGGGGGATATGTGATTTGTCTCCTTGGGGTTTGTTCCCCTGCAGATTTTTCTGTGACCCATGAGTCCAGAATGCTGCTGATTTAGTCCGATACCAAAAATTAAGTGGCTGTCCTGTGCTGCAGGGAGATGCAGTGACACTGTGTATGTGTGCAAGAGGCATGTATGTTCTTGTACAAGATAAAAAATAAGTTGGCTGGGAACTGCACAGAAATCTTTATGCTTTTCCTCTGCCTGTATCGTCACTCTTTTTAGTATGTAGAAAGATCTTCATCATCTACTGCATGTAAGAAGTGTTATGAGCTAATTAAAAAGCCCATCAGCCCCCAAACATAAGCGGTTCCTATTTCCCCAGAAACCAGCAGTTAGCAGATGTCTGTCTTGCTTTCACCTACACCTTGAATACCAAAGGAATATCTTCCCTACTTGCAGCAAAATTTGAGAAGCATTAACAATCAGCTTTCCATGCTGCCTTGAACGCCAGAGGTGAATGGACAAATAGAGCAATATTTGCTCGAGTTTATGAACTGGATCCATGCATACATCTTTTTTGAATACTTAACAAAAGTTTTCAGAGACCCTTTACATGAGGAAAAATATCTTTAAACCCTAACTTCAGCGTGAAGTGAGAACCACCCTGGTGTTAGCAGACCATGAATTAGACTTAATATAAGACTAGCAGGTATTTTTATGAATTTGCAAATATAGTGATTGCTTTAATATTTGTGTGATTTTGAAGGGTATGTATGTTTCTACTTACACATGTTTTCTGTATTTCCTGGCAGGTCTTACTGAGATTACAGATTCTTTGAGCTAGTGCCTATTGTGAGATTTGTGAAGACCGTAGGAAATGCCCTTATGGTAACACAAATGGGCTTGCTAAGTAAAAGTATTGCATGAAAAGATGACAAAGGGAGCAGATGATATATGGACCAGCTTTCCTTCTGCTTAGAGCATGCAATGGTGTCATTTACCATTCGTCACCCTAGGGACAAATTGTAGCAGTGGCAGGTACACATTTTTTGCTCAACCTGAGTATTTTCCATTTCGTTTAATGTGTTTCCCCAGCCAGCAGATATTGCATTTGTGGGGATGGAGGGAAACAGTATTAGCATCTGTGGAATCCAGGCACAGACAAAGGTTCGCTAAGCTCTGGACCTAGACCAGTGGATGCTGTCTTTGCAGATCTCCTCCCCAGGGGAAGGTTTCCCAGCCCTTGCCCTGTGAAGTGGAGGAATAGGGATCCAGGAGAGGAGCAGGCGACAGCTTACAGAACATCCCCCTGGGATAGCTAATTGATATCCGACATCACTGTGGTGTTTCCTTGGCAAACCCAGGTATGCTTTCCAATCCAGAACACCCATGGCAGTGGAATTGCCAGATGGTTGCTGGTTTCCAGCTGGTTCATTTCCATTGCTCCGATTGCAATGTTTTGTGCATATTTTTAAGCACCTGTGGCACAAAAGGCAGTAATGGTGGTAGCCCTCATGCCTCTGTGGCATCTCCACTGCAACTGTGTGTTCTCCAAAGCCACCATTGGTGATTGCCAGTGATACAAAACCAAGGAAGTGTGTGGAATACACCAAAAGGGGTTTTGTAAGACTGGAAGCTTGGAGGTTTACCAGTGGTTTTAGAGGATACTTAATTGTATCTTAAATCATTAAAGGTATGGCATCAAGGCTTTTTTAAGATGGGGAGTGCTGGAGCAAGGGCTGAGCTACAGCAGCTCATGTGGATGTCATAACTTCTGCACTGCTTGGGGACATGAGGCAAACCAACTAAAGCACGTACAGAACACACTGAATTTAAAACATAATCATGATGTAGCTTGATTTCACCCAGGAATTTTTTTTGGAAATACCTTAAATCTGACAGTTCTCATAAAAAAAAAATACATATATGTGTGTGTGTATATATATATATATATATATATATTATTGTCCTCCAAGATAACATCGAGAACACCAGCCATTTTTTACAATATAAGGATATGGCTCGATGTCATGGGGAAAGAAATCCCTCCTGGGCATGTTTTCACCCTGATGTGTGGTGGTGTGAGCAATCACTGCCCACCGGCTTTGACCTCTGCTTGAGTCAGCCTGCTGCGACTGAGGTATGCTTGCAGCAGTGCATTTGGGCTGAGCTTATGGGCTATTTCCCAGGAGAAAGCTGTTGAGCATAGCCAGCAGCGGTTCACCATGGCATCATCGTGAAAGATGTGTGTAACCTCTGTGGTACGGAACTGGGTAGAATTTAAGTAGCAGCCATATAGTCTAGCTGGGAACTTCTTTTAAAAGCATTTTTATACAGATCCATTACCAATGACTTTGAAGAGACTGTGCTTTGGTCTTTGCTGCAAAGGGAACAAAGTGTTATGAGTTTGACCTCTAAGGAGAACCTGTTCCTTTGCCTGCTCCCATGTTGCGTTGATCCCGAATAATTGCCTTAATAGCAGTCCTGGTGTAAACAATGAGTAGTTTTCTGTCACTCGAGTAATGAAGTTACATGTATTTTTGCTGTGAAAGAATTTATCCCACAGCTCAGTGTTGTCTCCCCAGGATGAGGAAGCTCCTTGCTCTGAGCCTGGGCAGTATCAGCTGGCACCTCCCAGGAAAAAATAATTAGGTGAGAAGACGGGAGAGAGCAGAGGTTTGGGGAAATAAATTCCTTATGGTATCAGAGCAGTTACTTCTGTTAGACAAGAAAATAACAGCTTATTGCTTGCATTGCAGGCTGCAATTCCAACAAAATGTCATGTGGTTTCTCTTTGTCTAGGCTCCTTTAGTAACACCCAGTGTGATTTCCCCTTTTACCGACGAGTGGTTCTCTAGCTTAGGATGATTCTCTTCAGTTGATCATATATAAATTGTATGGGTCTTGCTTAGAAAAAGTCAGCAGCATCTTTCTCTTCTCTCCCCATCCCAGGCTATTTTGTGACCAAATACAGACCACTTCTTGCTTCCCCCATGACAATTTTCTATTAATTTACAACGGTTTACATTTCTCAATTTCCAGTGGTACATGAGAAGCTAACAGAATTTGTAAGGTCAGAAAAGAGTAGTTTATGAACCAGAGGTGCAGGTTCAAGAATAAGAAGCACATCATCCCAGCTCAGCAAAATGAGCATTCATGCTACCAGATCCTTAGGAGCCTTTTTTTCCCTTTCTTTGTATTTTTAAATACACATGAAGGGCTTTGAATGACCTGGCATGCAAGCCTGGGCTTCAGCCCTGTCTTTGTGCAAGTGCATTGCTGATGGTGAGAAATGAATTTGTGACACCTGCAAGCTTGTCTGAGAGTTTTATGTAGGTATTTACCCTTTGGCAAAAAGCAAGTAAGAAGATTCTAGTGCAAAAATAAACAGCCCAAACAGGAAACCATTACAAAACTTTTTAGTTGAATGAGTGATTTGAAAGATAGCAGTAAGTGGCAAAATGTGTACATTTGGGTCATAAATTCTCAGTAATGTGGAGCTCTAAACAGTTAGCAAAATTCACCACATCTTTATAAATTGTGGAAAGTATACTTAAAGTATATATATGTATTTTCTACCGTGCAGTAGTTTCATATGGTTCTATCTACTGCATACAGGCAATTTGCATGTGATTTAGTGCGATATTTATGCCAAGAATTTCATCATTTCATGTTGGTCTAAGTAAATGAAGTAGTGCTGGAAATCCTTTTCATTATTAATACCACTAGAAGTAATGATTTTTGCATACTAAGTTGCAGGTTTTCAGCAAGCAGATCCCTAGATAATGTAATACGTTTGACCTTCATGCTTAGCAGGGTGAATTCTGACAGTCTATCTGTTGTGTAATTGCCTTTTGATTATTATTCACAAACCCTGGTATTGTTTAATGGGCAGGTTAGTATCTTGCTTGTGAGCTTTGGTTCATAACCGCAGCTCCGCTAAACATTGCACTATTTTGTCCTTAGTGAAATCACCATAGTAACATTGCAGGGAAAATAGCGTGCCTTGTATTTTTATCCTATGCTGAAATATCAGGGCGGGCTAATATTTTTCTTACTTTTGTCCACCTCTCATCTTTAACACTTGCAGTGGCTGGAGGAGGTTGTGCCTTTGGCTTCAAGATGATTGCATTTTCTCCTGGAGATATGTATACGGCTCGTCTGTGCAAGACCCCGTGATGCTCATGGAGTGTGGGAGCATGTCATGTAACTGTTCTTTACACCACTCTGCTTGTGATCCCTTGTGCTGACAGCTATGAGCAAGATGAAAGATAGTCCTTGCTTCAAACAACTGGTAATCAAATGATACAAACCCAAACCCTGTTTTCTGCAGGTTTTTCAGTAAAGTTATTTCAGTATGAAGTTATTATTTCAGTGTATTGTGTAGAGTATTGGGATGGTGTTGTGCCACCCTGGGTGCTTGCTTCCTGCAGAAGGTCTTTGTTCTTTGAGTCCTGTGTCATCCTTATTAATTAATCTCTGTTAAAGAAGCATTTGTCTGTTTAGATGAGTGTTTTTGAAGGTAAACTTGGTTTACCCCTTTCTTTCAAGAAAACTAAGGCATTTAGTTCCTCAGCAGATCTGTGCGTTTTGGGGGAATATGACCACAATTTTGTTGGCAGTGATGGCTGATCTCTGTCACCTTCAGGTTCAAACGCGTAAACAGCACAAACTATGTTCTTGCACCCAGTGCTGCATATGGTGACCAAGAGTATCCTTGTTCTGGGAAGAGCAAGGTCTGGGATCAGTCAGCCAATCCCAGTAATGTGGTAACTGGTGCACACAGGTGCTGAGTGACTTTCCCCATTTCCCATCTGTGTGGCTTTGACATGGGTTTCCCTGCTTGCTAAAGCATGCTCTGCTGTTATGTGAAATGAGAGCGAGCTCTTGTTCAATAATGCATTGATAAGTTAAACTCTGTGATTCTGAAAATAGTAATTGGGTTGCCAGTATGTGTTTAAACAAGGGATAAATTATACATGGGTTTTGGCATGCAATTTCACCCCTACTGGTCCAGAAAATCCTTACAAAGGTAGGAGTGATTGCTAGCCAAGATTTCCAGCTTCCATTCTTTTTCCAATGAGACTTTATACTATTGCTTTATAATCTTCAGCTGATATCAGCATGTATCATGCCCTAACTGTCATGGGTGATAAAACGTTTGACAGTTTTCCACATCCCTGTTAAATAAAACCCAGTAATGGTAAATCGTCCAGAGCAGCATCCCTTGGCTGGGTACAGAGTGCATTGTTTTTCAGTCTGAACCTCTCTGAGATGCAATAATGTGTGTTTCCCAGCCCCATGCAGTATTGCTGCCTTCCTCAGAAATACTGAGGATGGTTTTGGAAGCCCTTATGGTTGCAGTTATGTCTCCTAAGGGAGGGGGGATACTTCTGCAGTAGTTTTTCCAGGGAAGTCCTCCTGTGTGGGCAATCAGCCCAGCATGTCCGAGCCTCAGTGGGAGGCTCCTCGGACAACCTTAATTGCTTCCCTAGCCCCCAGCAAATAGAAATCATCTGCTTGACTTGAGTTATTTTGCTTTGATATGGAGAATGCATTAAATATGTTCCTTGAAGTATGGCAGAATAGTGGGTCAAAAATGTGATGGCATTTTGGTTTCTGATCTGAAAAAAAATTACTGTCTGGGGTGTATGCTGAGAGGTATTGCACATACAGCTCCAGAAACAAAGCAGAGCTTTGGCAGGGCTTAGAAATCCCTCTTTGTGTGATGATTTGCAACCATTTTGCTGTGTTATTGGGTTGTCAACTTAGAAGAAAAAAATACCCCTCTGTTTTCATTTACTATGCCTAGAAAAAGGGCCCCCGTTTCTCTCCTTGCTCTTGTCTTGATTCATCATGATGTGTAACCCCGAAGCACACAGGGAGGGCTGGTTGCATGCTGAGATCTCTGCTCTCCTCCTAACTGTAAGTTATGGTTTCACTTATAGCAAAATAGAAGGCAAAACCTGGCCTCTTCCAGCTGCTTGCCTGCCATTTTTGAGATACTTATGGGAGCAAACAGAATTCAGATGTTTGAGGAAGGAGGCTAGGATATCAGCTGGGATATTCCTCGCACAAATTCAGAGGGGGAAAGAAAATGGGCCACTCTGGGCCACCTTTGATTTGAATTTTTCCTATTCTGTGCATAAAAAATACTATTGGAAGACATGGGCCCAAAATCATTAACAAAACCATCTGCAGACCGTAAGTTGGCACAGATGGGTGTTTTGCTTCAGTTCTTGATTAATTGAAGACAAAAGCTTGTGTTTCCTTGCTCCTTATGAAGGAAAAACTGTTTCGTGGAGACCAGTAAGGCTTGTTTTGGTGTTTGAAGCAAAATCTCTTCTTCTCCTGGAGCAGCTTTCTTGGTGGTGTGATCAAAGTCAAGAGTGCAAGCATGGGATGGGCTAGAGTAGGGCTGGATGCCACAATGAGGGGAGACAGAGGAGATGCAGTGCCTGTCAAAGAATATCTGTGTGAGGAGTTTGCATTTTGGATTGAAATAGTTTTACATGAATAGTGGAAAAACAGTCAATTCACAAGTGCTTAGCATTGGGAAATTTATGTATCTATGCCATTACAAAAATAGTATTACATATTACTCCCCCTTATTGCCTTTATTTTACTTATTATTCTTTTTATTGCCCTTATGTTCTGGTTTTGGGGAAATGCATGTTTAATAGACCACTTCAGCAAACAGCTGTCAATTTACAAAAGCTCCACTATATACCTATAATATACAGTATAGTAAAGTATATATTTAGTAAAGTGTACCTACTTTTTGTTAGTTCCTTTTGGTTTTTTTTTTGGGTTGCTTGCACAACTCGGTATTAGTGAAATCTGTCCACGGAACACACTGAAAGAGTTTCCCTTAGCATAATTTATTCAAAATGGGGTTTAAACATCCTGCAGAAATAAAAAGCCCTACTGCATGTGATTTCGTTCCCAGGTCACGTTAAGTGCAATTACATTTATGTGGCTCTGAATCAGCTTCCTTAAATATCTGGGCTATATATTTAACTTCCCAATGAAATGGCTTATGCTGTAAATATTGAGGCCATCCAGGGTGATTAAATATTAAAAATGACATTTGAAGAAAGCCCCAGTTGCTCTGTGAGCTGAGCTTTCCCAGGTTTTGGCAAAGTTCAAGCTGATAGCCAAGCTTTGCATCTGGCCACTGGTGCTTGTTTCTGCAGAGAAAAACACCAAGAAATCCCCCAGAAAATCCCAGCTGGGGGTTATGGGTGGGTGTCAGAGCCCTCTGTATCCCCAGGACAAGAGCACTGGGGTCCTGAGCCTTAATGTCTTCTTAGTTCTCCCTTGCTCAGTGAGCATGTGGCCAAAAACTTCCAGCATCACAGAGAAGGAATAAAAAAATCCCAGGTCTTGAGGGCAGTCCTAGTGATGGGAATGGCTTTGGTTTGCTCCAAGAGCCTAATTTTACTGTCAGCTTTCAAAGAGTTTCTCCTGCCTCTGCACCTTGATGTGGGCATGGCATCAGTAGATTTACTACATGAGTTTCCAAAGAGCAAACCAGAACCCCAAACTCATAGCAGAAAATCTTTCCCCTGACACCATGTACTAGCTCCTTGGGCAGTAAGGTGTCTGGCTGTCCATATCTCCTCTCTCACAGGGCTGTAGCATCATTGAGGGCAGTGATAGAGGCAGTCCTCTCACATGAGAGTTGTTATAACAAGTCAGGCAGATGGATCACTATGTTATAAAGCACTTGGTAAATTCAATCTTATTTTGCATAGCATGTCTCCAACAGCTGATGTGAAACTCCTGAAAAAAATAGAACAGTTACAATGGTCTGTTCTAACACTGCGGAAAATGAAGCAGATTTAAGGAGAAACCTTAAAACAGCCTACTTGCTTCAGGTATCACAAGGTAATTCATTCCCCTACAAGGAGCACAGTAATAAAGACTAAAGCTCTCCTGCCCAGGGTTTGACTTCTAGAGGTCAAGACTTTCATGAGGAAAGAAGTTGCAGAGTAATAATTCATGGAGAAGGCACCTTACCTGAATACAAAGTCTTTCTATATGTAATAAAAATCCAGTGCATGTGCAGCCCTTGGCTCTGTTGTAATCAGAATTGAATAGCCTAACAGATACTGTTGATTTTTCAAAATTACATTTGTATGGTACTATTAAGTTCCACATCTGACCTAATTGCAAGGGGGAAGAGAGAGAGAGTGGGGAGGAAGGAGGGGTCTGTGCATAGTGCACACAGGCTGGTACGCAAATGAGGGGGTGTCATGCAGTGGCAGCTGCAGGCAATAGGAAAGGAGGGGTTATGCTCCATCTCAGCTTCATCTCTGACATGGCCATAGAAGTACACCCCAAACGCAGCCAGAGCTTCCTTGGAGACCTGTGCCTTGCAGGGACATGGGCTGAGGCACCAGGGAAGCACTTTTCTGCACTATCCAGTGACACCAAGCATAACTTTCTTAATTACCCTCCCTGACAAGGCTTTATGTTTGCCAGTCTTGAAATAAAGTAGAGTTAAAAGTCAGAAATTTACAGGATCTGCACGCCTGTGGGGAGGCTGTAATTTCAGGCCATTGATTTAAAGGGATATAAATCAGGAGGGAGAAATAAATAGAGTAGCTGTCAACTTAAATATTGCAGAAGACATGTTTTTATTTGGTTGGGATTTTTTTGGAAATGCATATTGCCATAATTTGCTTTAAGTGGAAATGACTGTAATGGGTTGGACACTGATCTCTGTCCAAGTGGGAATGAGCTCCTGACCACATCTCATTTGTTATCCTACAAAATCCCAATGGAAGCTCATCAGTTTGAAGGTAAGTTGCTGCCTCTGCTGTCTCTCATGACCCCAAGGTACTTGTAGTTCACTTTGTTCAGCAAGATATAAACCTGTTGTTAGTGAAATGAGGAAGGCAGTACATAAAAAGACCTGGGATGTCTTTGCACATTGGTCCTGTAACTGTTGCGTTTACCAAAGCAGAGTGTGGAGAAGACAGAAAAATCTGTGACTTCAAGAAAAACCCCAAAGCAACCCCAACTAAAAAAAAACCCAAATGTACAAATGACAGCTGTCACGCTATCACAGAAGTCATGTACCAAATCTGAAAATATCCCAAACAGCGAAGATTCTGAAATAAATTTTACAAATGTTAGGAGAGAATAAAAAAGTTGTTTTCCTTCCATGTGGGTGGTGAAATTCAATACAACTGTGTTCATATTAGTGGCTTAAGTGACATAGAGTGAATACATACTAATATTACTTTCCATCTGGAAACATCATTAGTTAATGGTGAAGTGCCTTCATCATACTTTATTTCAATAGGAAGGTACTTGAGGATTTTGAAAACTTCAGATTTGAAAAGATACTTGTAGAGTGGCTGAAAACCATTTATTAAACTGGTATTTATCATGTATGTGTTAGACTTTTAGGTCCTGTGGACCTATGGAGTTGGAGGTCTGCAAAGCCAGGTGCAAAGGAATGCTCCTCTTCATGTCTGTTAAATCACTTAAGTTATCAGTGACAACCTGGTATGTCTCCAGAGGTCAAGAAACACAAATGCATGTTCCCTTCAATGGAGTCCCATCAAGGACAATAATGAAGAAGGACTTTTCTTGACTGAGCAATTTTTTTTTTCCAGAACTCCTGGTATGTTTTGACTCGGCAGGTGAGTTGCAAGTTAAGTTTGTACAGCAATGGTCCTGAGAGAGACTTTTGTAATAGAAGTCAGTATCTGAGATTAGCGAGAGGTTTTGTTGAGGTTCCTGTTGCGTGCCAGATTGCTTTCCAGCTGAGCTGAACTCAATTTTGGCCCGGATCTTGCACTAGAATATAGGGCTGCCTACAGTTCCTGGTGTTTTCTTTTATTTATCCTCCCCTCTTCCCCCAGTATTTAATTCATTTAACCACTCATGAATATTGTGAAC